CCAAATAAATAAAGTTAAAGGACAACTTGAGTGCTTTCATTTGTTAAAGGACGAACAAAGTTCTCAAATGAAAGTTTAAGGACCAAATTGGGTATTAAACCTATTTGAAACTGTGTAAGATATGGGCCGAATAGAGTTGGCCTTTTTAAGTTGTGACTCAAACTTACGGGCAGGATTAGAATTGGCAATTGGGTTTAGAGTCTTATGATATGCGAGAAGCGATAGGGACATTTCCACCGACCTGAAGGATCTAGAACTACCAGAAGACCCAGAGTCAACCCGAAACCGAGGAAAAAGAATTCTAGATCCTTCCGTCCGGAAACACACCTATAAGCTGGAGGCAATCTTAACCGTCCATCAGAACCGGTTCAACATCATCGCCCTCGTATAAATTCTCCACCACAATCCCGTGTCTCTGCCTTTGGGCTGTTTTCTGGTAGGGTCTAGAGCGTTCTGCACTGCTCTCCAGGTCGCCGGTGTAGAGTACGAGGGTTTTCTGGATCTTTCCGAGAGTTTAAAGAGAGGAGAAGATGTTTGGAAGAGCACCGAAGAAAAGCGATAACACAAAGTACTATGAGATTCTTGGCGTGTCAAAGAATGCCAGCCAGGACGATCTGAAGAAGGCGTACAAGAAAGCCGCCATCAAGAATCACCCTGATAAAGGTGGAGATCCTGAGAAGGTATTTCGAGATAGTTTTGATGTTTATTGTCATGTCTCATGTTGTTTCTTTTATTTCTTATTCTCCTCTGCGGTTTTTGAACATAATTATTGTTATTAATGATGTTGTCTGGCTATTGCGGTGTTATTGTGAAGTTTAGTTGTAATTCTCAGACAGTTTAGGAAATCCGAGATAGAAAATTGATGATGGTATTTTAGATAATTGAATCATTGTTTGGTTGCAAGGGGATTTCTTAGATTTTTTAATAATCGAGAAATGTGATTCAAATCTTTGATTTTATGTTAAAACTTGTCCGTTTTACTGGAGAATGTGATACGGTATGACCTTTGATTGGATAGGGCATTGTTATGCCCTTTGACAAGGTTGTGATGATTTGGGTTGTTAAGAATTATCTGTTAGTCTGGCGAAGCTTGACCTTTACTTGAGAAATTTGACTCTCCTTGCAGTTCAAGGAGCTTGCTCAGGCTTATGACGTCCTGAGTGACCCTGAGAAACGTGAAATCTATGATCAGTATGGTGAGGATGCGCTCAAGGAAGGAATGGGTGGCGGTGCTGCTGCCCATGATCCATTTGATATCTTCTCATCCTTCTTTGGTGGTGGATTTGGAGGTGGGAATCTAGTCTGATATTCTTGTGTATGCTTGTGAAGCATCAGCGTTGGATTTTTTTTTTTTTTAATTTTTTCCCCAGGTGGCTAATTCATAATATCATCTCTGAACAGGGGGTAGCAGCAGAGGAAGAAGGCAGAGGCGTGGAGAGGATGTTGTTCACCCATTGAAGGTTTCTCTGGAGGATCTGTATCTCGGGACTACAAAGAAGCTTTCTCTCTCCCGTAATGTGATATGCTCGAAGTGCAATGGGTGGGTACTTGACTATTTTGTCTCTAGGTTCCTTTTATTTTTTTAAATCATATTAGCTAACATGGGTTATTGATGCCTTATCTATTACAGAAAGGGGTCAAAATCTGGAGCTTCAATGAAGTGCGCAGGTTGCCAGGGTACTGGTATGAAGGTGTCTATCAGGCAACTTGGTCCTTCCATGATTCAGCAGATGCAGCATCCTTGCAATGAATGCAAGGGTACTGGTGAGACCATCAATGACAGGGACCGCTGCCCTCAATGCAAGGGAGAGAAAGTTGTTCCAGAGAAGAAGGTGCTGGAAGTCGTTGTTGAGAAGGGTATGCAGAATGGACAGAAGATTACATTCCCTGGCGAAGCTGATGAAGCGGTATGTTGTTGGCCAGAAATTGATTGCACCAGCTTGGATTAGGGATAGAATTGAAACCTGATTTGTTGGTTTATTGTCTGTTTTGCAGCCGGATACAGTTACTGGGGATATAGTCTTTGTCCTTCAGCACAAAGAACATTCAAGGTTCAAGAGGAAGGGAGAGGATCTCTTTGTTGAACACACCCTGTCCCTCTCTGAGGCTCTGTGTGGTTTCCAATTTGTATTAACCCATTTGGATGGCAGGCAGCTACTCATCAAATCAAATCCTGGGGAAGTTGTGAAGCCTGGTAAGTACAGATGGCAATATTTATTAATATCTATTTGAGGCTTTCTGTTGATGGTTGCTTGGTTTGCTAAACTTACAACCACATTGTTCCAGATTCCTTCAAGGCAATTAATGATGAGGGGATGCCCATCTATCAGAGGCCCTTCATGAAGGGGAAGTTATACATTCACTTCACGGTTGACTTCCCTGACTCTTTAAGCCCTGATCAGGTCAAGGCACTAGAAGCTGTTCTCCCCCCAAGGTCAACTTCTGGGCTGACAGATATGGAGCTAGATGAGTGTGAGGAGACTACACTGCATGATGTGAACATTGAAGATGAGATGAGGAGGAAGCAGCAGGCCCAGCAGGAGGCATACGAGGAGGATGATGATATGCATGGTGGTGGTGCTCAGAGGGTGCAATGTGCTCAGCAGTGATAATGGTGAAAATTTAGACTGATTTTAAGTGTTGTAGAAAGGTATATGTGGGCTGATCTCCATGTGGTAGTGTATTAGAAGTACGTGGTTTTGTTGGTCATTGGGGATGCTATTGTTGCCATAAATTAAACCACAAATGCTAGATATAAGGACTAATTCTGTACCCTTGAGTGTTGACAGTTAATATCTGGCCAAGTTTTCCGCTTCCATTTTGCGCCTCTTGGTGACAAAATTGAATATCCATTCTATTGTTTTCACAAGCCAGTATCGGAGATGCTAGTCGTTTGGAATGAGTACCTTGGGTTACAGACGACATGATAGAACTGGTGTGTTGCCATCACAATTGCAGCCTGAACTAAAAACTGAAGTGTCAGGAAGGCAAAAGAGGTAAAAGCGGACAGAACCCATAAACTAGTGTCTGGTTTGTTCGATGAAGTCTTCAACCCAAACATGCAATAAAACGGTACTCTATACTCTTCATTTTCCTTAGCATAAACATGCTCTTCAACTAAAAAAGTTCAGTAAAAAATATCATCAAAATTTTTTCTTTCAATAGCTTAGATTGATTGCAACTTTCCAAGTTACAATTATTGTCCATTCGAGCCCACAACCTCGCAAGTTTCTCTTGAGTGCTCAACCAGCTGAGCTGAATAAGCATACTGCTCTATCGAGCCCACAACTCCACGAGTTTCTCCTTAGTGCTCAACAAGCTAAGCTGAATAGGCATACTGCTCTATTATTTATTTTTAATAAATTTAATATAAATTTTTTATTTTTTACGTAAATTTTAAATAAAAATTAAATATATTATATAAATAAAACTAGTGTCTA